CACATAATCTGAAATCAAGCCTCTTGTCAAGTCAAATAGTTTTAAAAAATATGAGCTAAATGACTGGGATATAATTCTATAGCTTTGAGTTTTTTAGTGCTCCTCCAATGTTTGGCTGACCACAATGACACAAAAACACTCCCCTGCTATACATGGTAGGCCCATGGTATACTGACATGATGGTTGAAAGTGGCCTGACCATTTTTTGTAAACAATGAATGGCAAAAGTAAAAGAAAGAAATTTTTTCGTATTTTTCAATGAAGAACAAGTAACTAAAATCAATGTCAGCACTTCATTAATTCCTTCTCATATTCTTTTTGTGGCGATAAATATTCCTCATGTGGAAAACTAAATTTTTGAGTGTTGTTTCACCATTTCCTAAAACTGCTAAAAGGAATAGCTGACGATCTTCAACTACCAAAATACTTTTTGCAAGCATCCTAAATATTGCTTTATTTTCTTCCACAATTATGGATGAATATACAGTACTGTAGTCTAACCTCCCCAAGTCAAATTTCAAGGAACCAGCAAAAAATTCAACTCAAGGAGGTTTTGCAAAAGGGAGACAAGAATTTTTTGTGGGAAACACAGAAGAATTGCAAGAAATTGTACATGGTGATATTCTGGGCCTCAAATTGCTTCTTGAATGAGTTGCCAGGATGCTGAACTTGGAGGCAGGATTTCATTTGCCCAATGAGTTATTCACTTTCTTTGAAAACAAATCAAGCTAGAATTTTATTGCTTTCCTCTTTCCTGTGTCAAGAAAATAATATCCAAAAGGCCTAAGAAAATTATATTTACAAAGGTTTTAGCAGAAAAGCCTCCAATTAGAAAGGTTTTTTAATGAATTGTTTCTAATGGAATTTAGACAGAGAATTGGAAAAAATGCGACTTGGGGAGATACGAATTATCAACGTTCAACTGTCTTCATTAACACGCAGACTTGTTTTACCTGATTTCGCGGAATCGACTATGATAACTTTACTGATCAGAAAAACTCAAATGACAATCAATCACCTCGTTTGAAAGTAGTTTCGCAGGCCTCACCAACATCGCATGTTGTAACAAATCCGAGGTTGCTCTCGCAAGAATAAATTTCCGAATCGCTCGAATCGTGCCTTATGAAAGCGTCCTCACTCTTGCAAGCATAGCATCCTGCATAAGAAAAGGTCTGTCATGAATATTCAGTTTAAAATTTTTTTTTGTATGCCTCACGGAGTGGTTTATCGCTTAAGTAATTCCTCGAACACACGGTAGGATTCCAACCCGAAGACGTGGTGCACAGAAGCAAAAGGATCAACACGACGACCATTGTATCCAAGAAAAGTCTTGTAACACGACGTAACGCAGCATCAAATGGATAAATTATCGGTTTTGGTGCAAATAAGTCACATTTCTTCAACAGACCTTTACTGGCTTCATCAATGTACTGGACTGTATAAGTCATGAATGCACACCAAATCTGATTTCATACAGAGCTCATGATGAAGATCAAAATTGTCAAGAGGTTCCTTCTGGGACAAAAGCATACGGAAAATCCCCATTAGCACTCGAAAGAAAGGTATTCAACAACATTTCTCGGATTGTATAGATCAAAGGCTCAGTGGAGTGCTTCCGTAAACCAATCAACAAAAATCTCGACACTTCCAATTTTCGTCATCGCGACTGTCGACTATTTCCTGAAAACTTTTCAAGTTCATGCATCCAAATTTCAACAGCAAGAATTATTTGAGGTGGAATATCATGACATCCCCGTTGCCAAATTGGATTGAGTTTGAACTCGGACTGCCGAAAGCAAACGCTCCTTTCATGAAAAAAAGGTTTCCTCTATTCATTTGAAAAGGAAGTATTTACTAGATCTGTTTTGTCTTCTTGCTGCATGTCTCAACTCTGAGCCGGGAAATTGTATAAAATCGGGAAAATCTTCGGAATCTCAATCAGGAAGTTGAGAAACAAAACTTACTCGCAAATAACTTAGAGCTCACAAACATTACTAACCATAAAGATAAATTAATAAAATCACAGGAAATGAATAAACTTCTGGCAGATGCAGTGTATTTTTTCCATTTTCCCGCCAGAAGAAATCTCCGCCACGACGGAGCAGACA